TGGGGTGCCAGGGTGTGTGTGTGTGGCAGGGCACAGACTGCAGGGGTGGAGCGTGCCAAGGTATAGGCGGGGGTCATGAAATCCTGCACTGGGGGGGGGGTACCAGCACATAGGCTGGGGGTGACAGGGCGTAGGGTGGGGGTGGGGTGGTTGGTTGGGGGGGCAGGGCATGGGCTGGGTGCTGTGCTTTGGGGGGTGATGCTAGGGGATTGGCTGGGTGGGCGGGGGGTGCTGCGCTGGGGCTGGAGGTGACAGGGCGTGGGGGGTGGGGTGGTGCGCTTGGTGGGGGGTGGGCATCGGCTGGGTTGCCAGGTTGGGGTGGGGGGCACAGCTGCGCTGCAGGCCACCAAAGCACAGAATTTGTTCCCTGTCTGTGCCGACCAGGCTGGCAGCCGACCCTGTTCAACAGTGGGGTTCAGCGGTGGGGGGTGACTCAGTGCCCCTCGCCCCGTCCCTTCAGAGCAGCAGGGGAGGAGGGAACTCTGGCCATCCCACGGCTGGGCTCACCCCTGGGAGGGCCCCTCTGTCTCACCCCACGGCAGCGAGGGCAGGAGGCCTGGGGAGTGGGGATCCTGTTCCGGGGGGGCAGGAAGCCCTCGCCTGTCCCTGCTGAGTCCCCCGGACTCTCTTGGCTGCCCCTTCGGCAGGGCCCATAGTCGCCCTGTCCTGCCGTGTGCTGGCAGGGGCTGCTCCCACCATAGGCGCATTCAGAGCCCGGGGCGCCGGTGCCCCCCCTCCGGCAGCTGCCTGGCTGGGAGCTGGGGGTGATGGTGAGTAGCCATGGCAACAGTGCCCAGCGCATCCCTGGGGCCAGCTGTGGGTACGGCGAGCGGCTCCGAGGAGGCTCCTGGCGCTGGCGAGGGGGCCAGGCTCTGTGCGGCCCTGGGCCCAAGCACGGGCGTGCGGGGGAGTGAGGCCTCTGCACTGCTACCCCGTCCCTCCCAGCACTAGGGGCCGAATGTGTCGTGTTTCCCCTCGTGGCTGTGGCTGACCCACCGTGCGCGTTGCTGGAGTCTACCGGCCGTGCCGGGCAAGGCCCTGCTTCTGGGCGGCTCTGTCCCTTGCTGTCAGCAGCTGCGCACGCCCCGGGCAGCCCAGGGTCAGACTCCGACCGTGAGTCCAGGGAGCAGAAGAGCACTTGGGACTGAGCCTTTCCCAGGCTGGGGCTCTGGGGTTGTTGTGGGACCCGCTGGCTCCGGGGCGCTCCCATGCCCGCTGTCCGGGAGCCACAGCAGGAGCGGTGGAGCTCTGAGCAGACCCGGGGCAGCAATCGAAGGGACTGGACCTGTCCTGCCAATCCGAGGGCCGTTGGGGCAGCTGCATTGTTCGCCGGTGCTGCCAGCCCCTGCCGGAGCCTACCTGCCACAGCACTGGGGCCAGCCAGAGCTCGGCCTGCTGAGGAAACATTTGGCTCCATTTGCTTCTAATCACACTAATTGCTCTCCGGCTGCAAAGCCCTTGGGGCAGGGCAGGCGCTGCGTGTACCGACAGCCTGCTCCCCCGGGCCCAGGGCCCCTCCCCAAGGAGGCGCTGGCGCAGCCGGATGTTAGCAGTTCTTGCTGTTCAGGCACCAGCCTGATGCCCTGGGGATGCCCCTGCTCCGGTTTAATTAGCTGCGAGCCTCCCCTCGTCTGCCGGAGACAACGCGTCCCGCTTGCCAAGCATCTGCTCCCAAGCCGCTGCCGTGGGCAGGCCCCAGTGGGCATCCCACACGCCGGGGAACTCGCAGGCCGGGGCAGGCGGCCGCTTGCCAATTAGCCTCAGATGGGGGTGGTACGTCCCCTCCTTTGGGTCAGCAGGGCAGAAGGGGTGGCCTGGGTTGGGCTCGGTGTCCAGGCCACTCCCGTGTTCTGGTGAGTTATTCGGTCAGGGCAAAGGCAGCAGAAGGGCTTTCACTGTGGGGAGCTGCACGTCCTGCACCCAGCCGAGGCCCTAGGGAAGGTCTCTCCTGACAGCCCAGGACAGGGTTAGCCGAATGTGCGGGAGCTCGGTGGTCTCTTTGGTTGTGGGGGATGCTCTGCTCTGGGAATTGCGCTGTGAAGATTCTGTGTAGGAGGAAGTAGTTCGCTGTGAGAGGTGAGATTTATCTGGGGTTGTGGTTTGTGGTTAAGGTTAGAGATGTTCTGAGGTTGCATTGAACCAGCAACGCTCAAGGATATTCGGGGCTAGTTTGGCTGCTGGTGACTTTGGGGCCGTGTTTGATCAGGGTCATGTTTGCATGGGTGGCCCTTTGGGATGGTTTAATTTGAACATATGGGCGATGATTTAGTGGAGGCGCTGACCTGGCTTGTGATGGGGGTGAGGCTGGGAATTCTAGTGGGACTGGGATAAGATTGGGGGCCTGATTACTTTTTCCGCTAACTACGCCATACAATTAACCAAGCCATTTCTCCAGCAAGCTGGGAAGGAGAAAAGTGTTGCTGCTGGTGGTTTTCTGAATCCCTGGCAGGTACTGCGACGGCAGGCATCTCACTGGAGCTAGGGGGTTGTGGGCAGGTAGTGATCATCATGCTTTGGGCATGAGTTCTGGTTTTGGCTGGCTGGGCCTGTGAATGGCTCCTAGGTGGAGGGTTTGCTCTGAATTGTGTTTGTGGGGCTCTCTGAATGTCTGGGGCAGGAGCCTCGCCATGGTTAACTGGGGCATAGATTGTCTGTGGTGTGGGTTTGCGCTGTGGTTGTGTCTGTGCTGGAGGTGCTGCCGTTGAGAGGAAATGTAAAGCCGTTATCCTGAGCCATTTGTGAGTAAAGATCCCCTGGCCGGGGAGTAAATGGGCTGGGGCCGTGGCCCGTGGAACGTATGGAGCGTGAGCGCCATGCGGCTGCCTGAGATGCAGGTTCCCTAGTGCTGTCTCTGCTGCCTGCGTTTCACAAGTGGTCCTTGGGGAGCTGAACAGACAGGTCTGGCCCCCCCTTGCTCTGGTGCACGGCTTGGAGCCCACAGTCCTGTCCTGTCCTGTCTCCTAGAACTGGAAGGGACCTTGAAAGATCATCGAGTCCAGCCCCCTGCCTTCACTAGCAGGACCAAGTACTGATTTTTGCCCCAGATCCCTAAGTGGCCCCCTCAAGGATTGAACTCATAACCCTGGGTTTAGCAGGCCAATGCTCAAACCACTGAGCTATCCCTCCCCCCACTTCATGGTCCTGGCTGGGGGTTTCCTGACTCCTTTTGCTTCTGGGTCCTAGTGCTGGACGGCAGCCCGACGACTATTTCAGAGTAATTGCGCCGGGCTGCTCCAAATGCCCTCCAGACTCTGCTGGGAGAAGCTGCCCTGCCACTCCGCCTGCTCCTATGTAATTGTGCCACCTGTCACCCATTCATCTGGCACCTGGGCTGCCCCAGGCCGCTGCTGGCCCCTTCTTCTGCCCTCCTCACAATTGCCTCTGCAGCAATTGATGCAAACCCTCGTGGCCTCGGCCCCTGCTGAGACATGCTGGGCACACGCATGCCTGTGCCAGAGGCACGTGTGGCCCCAGGCAGCCGGACCCCCCCACACACCAGCGGCTGACGGGCTTGGGCAGTGTGACGCTCATGATGTCGCACCATTGTTTATTTCTAGTGCACAAAAGCATGCCAGGCACCTCCTGGAAGGGAGCCTGCTTCATGGAGGGCAGGGTGGGAGGCCATGAGCTGTCGGGAAGGGACTGGCAGGGGCGGGGGCACCACGCACAGCTGGGCCATGGCGGCTCCAGTGGGGAGGGGGGTGTTTTGTTGACCGTGTGTAGAATGAGGAAGATGAGACGGTTACGGGCAGAGAATGTGGCTGCTAATGGGCCGGAGCTTGGCCTCTCTGTGCAGCGGATTCACGTATGGGCCAGGTCGTTTGATTGATGGCTATGCAGTGCCAAGAGACTGGCATTAGACTGGCCCTCATTGGCAGCCTCCGCACAGAGGTGAGGACTGAATGAACCTCTCTTGTCCTAGGGCAGGGCCCCCCAGGACAGGGAAGAAGCCGCATGTGGAGGGGACTTGCCCTGTCTTGGCTCCGGAACCGACCCCAGGTCGCCTTCTCCCCGGCTGTCCACCCAGCACCTCGCGCTGGCCCTGAACGCGCTGCGGCTGGAGCCGGGCTGACAGCAGCTGTGGCAGGAAAGAGAAAGTGGTTCCTCTGTCTGCTGCTTGCTTCTGGCAGCCACACGCCGGCTGCAGACACTTCCTGTCTGCACTCGCCGGAGCCTGCCCAGCCGGCTGCATGGCTTCCAGAGGGCAGCGCCGCGCCCAGCTGACACGAGGGCTCTCTGCCGCAGGGACACCACAGCGGGCATTGGCTGGCAGCTTCGGGGTGCACAAGTGGGACCTGCCTGTCAGAAGCTCTGAATGGAGCCGCCAGCCACGGGGCTTCCACTTGCCAAGAGAGTCAGAACAGGTGTGAGCCGGGTGACATCCTGGGGATTGAAGCCAGCAGCCACGTCTTGGATTGTCCTGCTGGGCCCTGGAGCCCCTGGGTCTGTGGGACCAGCAGGCAGCGCCTAGCTGACAGCAGCCCCCAGGGCGCGTGGGGGGGGGCAGAGCGGGGCAGTAACGCAGGCCCCCCTGGGTCGCAGTAATGCAGGGAGTCCTGCACTCTCCTTATTCAGAAGTGTGAGGTGGGAGCGCCAGGGGCTGCTGGCTGAGTACACGCACGCCTTGTGCACACTCACCTTCGCTGTCGTGCAAGTGCACCCCACAGCTGGAGTGCTGCTGCAGGAGGGGCCCGGGTGGGACCCCGCAGGGCTGGGTGCAAGGATCCCCATGAACTGTCCCTCCGGTTCCCGGCAGCCCCAGAGCTGATCTCTGCTCCGCTCCTGGCTGATTTTTGTTTCCCAGCTGGTGAAGTGCAAAGGCTGAAGCCATCGCGTTTGCACCTGCAGCTGGGCAGTTCCTGTAGCTGCAGCTCTCGCTGGCTCCAGAGGGTCGCTGGGATAATTTTTCTGCCTTGGATTAGCAATTTCTCTCTCTCTCTCTCTCTCTCTCAGCTGCCAGGGTAACAGATACAGCAGCATGACTTCAGTCAGCCCACTCCTGGGGCTATTTTTAGGTCTGCCTGTGCTGATGAACAGGAGATGAAATGACAATCTCTCTCTCTCTCTCTCTCTCTGAGCCCCTTTCACCGCCCGTGCACCAGGATTACAAACGGGCGGTTGGCTGCCGTTGCCAAGAGGGAAGCTCTGGAGTCCAGGTGAGGCTGGCATGAGATCACTGCTGGGGCACGAGAAGGGACGCTCCAGAGCTGGAAAGGAAGAACAAGCTGTAATAGCAACGTTCTCTGCCATAGCTCTACTGCGTATGTGTTTGCGCGGCAGAAATGCCCAACGGTGCAGTGCCTGTTCTATCGTTATGGAGGGGTTCGGGTGCCAATGAGTCAGAGGAGGGAGATCCAGCTGTGATATGTGTGTGGTTTGAGTGTGTCTGGTATTAATGAGAGCTGATCACATACACCCGGTGGTTTGCAGATATTGTGGGGGATAAATGTGGTGAGTTCTCGCTGCTGCTAGTTGTGGGGACGTGGAGTTTGCTGCTCATGGTGGCTGCAGCTTGGAGGGAACGTTTGCGAATCCCCGAGGTTTCACAGAGTCTGTCACCAGTGCCTGTTTTCTCGGAAGTGCTTGTGTGAAACTGTTTGGGATTCTCCTTTTTAAAGAGTCGTGCAGTGAGCAGAAACAATCCATGTGACTTACACATGGCTAATGGCACGCTACCAGTAGCCGAGGGCACATAGTCGAAGTGAGGAGTTTTCGGACATTCCTAAGGGGGCTGTTTGTCCTGGGAAGGCTTCCAGGCCTCAAACCCATGCAAATATTAAATCCCCCTCTGGGTCTTGGGTAAACTCCAAGCACTTCCCTCCTGGCTGCCTCTGAAGTTGGAGCAACATGGACTTCAGGAAGGGAAGTCTGGGCAGCTGTCGGCAGTCATTGCCAGCTCTCCTCGATTGTGGTCACAATAACCAAGGCCTCTCCTCAGGGCATGTGAGCCTGACGGGGAGATGTTAGTACTGAAGGCCTCCAGGGAAACAGTTTGCTCAGGCGGGCCCATGTGCAGTTTGGAACAATCCCCATTTTACAAATGACAGTTCATTCTGTAATAAATCAGAGGGAGACGGAAAGGGTGCAGACAGCGCCGGCTCTGGCTTTTTTGCTGCTCCAGGCAAAAAGGCCTCCCGCCGCCCCCTTTCCCCCGCAGAGCGCGGCAGGGGAGGGCGCCGAGCCCGGCTGCGGGCCGCTCTCCTCGACCGGCCGGAGTGCCGGGGGGAGAGCGGCAAACCCGCCGCGGCTCCGCTCTCCCCGGCAGCCAGAGCCGCCACGCCGCTCCCCTCCAGGTGCCGCCCCAAGCTTAGTTACCACCCTTGGCCTTGTACGTGTTGGTGGGCTGGTGCCTGGAGCCGGCCCTGGGTGCAGAGGCAGTGCGAGAAATCAGGCCAGATGAGATGGTTACTGGATCTGTTCAAAGGAGGTTAAAGGCCCAGACATGGCTCTATCGGCTATGCTTTCCATCTCCTAACACGGGTCAATGTGCCACATGCCCGTTGGCAGTGTGCAGATAGCTCAGAGGGAGCCATGCTATTAGTAGAAGCAGCCATGTCCATTTTCTTTCCTTGGCAGAGAGTATGCGGCCCAGATACTGTGTTCTATTCCAGGATGGGGATGTCCACCTGGGGGTGCAGTGGGCAAGGATGCAATGCTGGACACAGAGCTTAGCTATCCAGGTGAGAGAGAGACTAAAAATACCAGACAGAGAGGGAGGAAATCCTGACCCCCTGCTACATGCCTAGTCCTGGCAACAGAGGAGCCTGTGTGGTGCTGAGGACAGGGGAGCAGAGGTAGGACTTGAAGTTTCTCAGGGTGCCTTGGAGCTCAGAAATGAGCTAAGTAGAGTGGATTTTTGTTCGCAGCAGGGACTATATTGCTGCCCTTCGGGGATCAGGTGTATTTCTGGGGACGGGGAGAGGATATTCTATAGCGGCTTATACCCAGCCCTGTTCACTGCAGTATTTGAGCACTGTCCAGAAATGCTCTGAGACATGATTTGCATGTGCCAGATGTGACATGTCCCTTCTCTCCTCATGGGCAGAATTCTATGTGTAACGTGGGATGTGGCTTTGGTTTTTATCGATTAGACGTACGTGCTGCTCTGTGTTTATATCTGTGAAGGCTGGTCGGAGAAGTGCCTGGCACAGGGAGCAGTAGGTGGGGAGTTTTGAGGGGCTTCTTTGGGTCTGGGGGAGTTCATTCCATGATCTGGGACAGGCCCCCAAGAAAACGCTGACAGACAAGTTTTACCCTTGTGTTAGACAGTCCTGTTGTGCCTGACAATATTGAAAAATTGGAAGGGATTCAAAGAAGAGCTAGAAGGATGATTTAACGTCTGGAAAACCTGCTTTGCAGTGAGAGACGAAAGGAGCTGAATCTATTTAGTACATTCAAGAGAAGGTTCAATGGTGGCTTGACCAAAGTCTGTTGTAGTCAGTTGCTGGCTGTGTGTGTGTTCTCTCTGCACTGCACAGCAGGCTCCAATCCAGCTGCCCCAAAGACCACAGACTCGGTTTCTGTAGGGAAGGCATTCGGCTGGGTTTGTTGCCCATGCAGCACGCTCCTAGTTCCCCGGCTCAATGTGTACAGTTACACTAGCATATGTGACAATGGACGCAGCTCCGTGAATGCTGGGACTTTCCATTCCCCCCTCGGCCGGACAAAGACACCCCCTCGGACATCCCTCTTTATACCCCAACACAAACAAGTTACGCATTGCCCCACTGGTGTGCTTAGTTACCACCCTTGGCCTTGTACGTGTTGGTTCGATCAAAACATCTCTATCCAGCATGCTGGCATCCTGACCTTATCTCTAAGGGGGTCACCGTGTCCTTGTATCATCTTCGGGGAGTGTATTTACACCATAACCTTGATTTGGGGTGTTCTGGTGCCACCCTTCTGGAATGTTTTCATGTAAATACTTAGTGCCTAGGAGTGCTTGTCTGCAAGGCCAGCCCTATGCTTGCCAAGTTCATGTATTGGACAGTGACCCTGCAAGCAGGCATCTGCTTTGTTATGGGGCGGGACCTGACTTTAGTTTGGCCCTTAGGCCTTACACCAGGCCCTTATACTCGGCCTCAAGTCTCAGGCTTTCTTTCTTCTACATCTGTAAGTACCGACATGGGGAAAGAGAGCTCCTTAATCTAGCAGACAAGGCCAAGTGAGATCCAATGGCTGGAAATTGAAGATAGCCAGATTCAAACTGGAAATAAAGCCCAAATGTTTAGCAGTGAGAGCAAGTCATCGTTGGAATGACTTACCGATGGACGGGGTGGATTCTCTGTCACTTTGTCTTTAAATCAAGGCTGTTTCTAAAACTTATGCTGTTGCTCCACTACAGATTTCTGAGATCAGTGAAGGAATCACTGGATCAGATTCGATTGCCTGTGCTTTGCAAGAGGCCAGACTAGATGAAAATAGTGGTTCCTTGAAAACATTAGAATGGCCACAGGGGTCAGACCAATGGTCCATAAATCTCAGTATCTTGTCTCCGACAGTCGCCAGTGCCAGATGCTTCAGAGGGAATGAACAGAACAGCAATTATTGAGTGATCCATCCCCTGTTGTCCAGTCAGAGGTTTAGGGACACCCACAGCATGGGATTGCATTCCTGGTCATGTTGGCTAATAGCCATTGATGGACCTATCATCCATGAACTTATCTAATTCTTTTTTGAACCCAATTATACATTTGGCCTTCACAACATCCCCTGGCAAGGAGTTCCACAGGTTGACTCTGCATTCTGTGAAGAAATACTTCCTTTTGTTTGTTTTAAACTTGCTGCCTGGTTCTCGTGTTATGAGAAGAAGTAAATAACACTTCCTTATTCACTTTCTCCACACCAGTCATTATTTTATAGACCTCTATCATATCCCCACTTAGTTGTCTCTTTTCTAAACTGAACAGTCCCAGTCTTTTAAATCTCTCCTCATATGGAAGCTGTTCCATACCCCTGATCCTTTTTTTATTGCCCTTCTCTGTACTTTTTCGAATTCTAATGTAAGCAGAGTCTGAGTGAGCTCTCCCTTGATGTCTAGTGATGAGCTGTGGAAAAGGACTTCAGGAGTTGATCTCGTTTGCATGGGCCCACCCACCCTGCCTAGGTGCTTAGCATGATGGGATTGCTTGCCCAAATGGTCACTTCTGGCTGGTATGGGATCCCTAGTCTCCTTGTTATTGAGGCAGGAGTAATACTCTTGGCATGGCGAGCGGCCCGCAGGGCGGCTGGCGGAGAGGCTGGTGAGTAAGTGCCCGAGCAGTGAAGCGAGTAGGGTGTCTCCTTACCCCTCCCCTCCACCCAGGATGGAAAGTATGAACTCTGCAGATGAGCCTCTGAACTCTGGGGCTGCACTGACCAAGGACAGCAACTGTGAGTGGGGTGCAGAGAAGGGATGGGCACATTAAAGAGACTTTTGGGTTGCTGCCCTGAAGAACCGGAGGGGAAAAGGACACTGCCTAACTTACTTGGTGGTGGGTTTTTTACTCATAGTTTGTTTATCAACTTTGTTTGCGGTGTTTCCCCAAATTAATGCTGCATTATTTCCCTCCTTTTATTAAAGGTGGGGTTTTGCTACGCTCAGACTCTGTGCTTGTGAGAGGGGGAAGTATTGCTTCTCAGAGGTGCCCAGGGGTGGTGTGTAATTGTCCCAGGTCATTGGGTGGGGGTTTGAGCCGGTTTTGCATTGTATTGTTGAAAAGAAACCCCTAGATACTGCACCTGGCCCTTGTTGCTGCCAACTCTGACTGGCAGAAGGGTCACACTCATGTGTCTTTTCTGACATAGGGCAACCAGAGCTGCATGCAGTATTCAAGATGTGGGCATACCATGGATTTATATAGAGGCAATATGCTATTTTCTGTCTCATTATCTATCCGTTTCCTAACGGTTCCTAACATTTTGACTGCTGCTGCACACTGAGCGGACGTTTTCAGAGAACTATCCACAATGACTCCAAGATCTTTCTTGAGTGGTAACAGCTAATTTATTTACCTTCATTTTGTATGTCTAGTTGGGATTATGTTTTCCCTTGCACATTATTTTGCCCTTACCAACTTTGAATTTTTCTGCCATCTTGTTGCCCTGATTTGTGAGATCCCTTGGTAACTCTCCACAGTCTGCTTTGAGCTTTTGTACTGGCTGCAAACTTTGCCTC